GGGGGGGGGGGGACAACAGATGAGCATGAAGAGGTTGGGCGCCGTTTCCACAAGAATCTAATTCTCACGAGGCCCTCTAGCAGCAAAGGGGAATGGGAAAAATAGCTTAACAGATAGAAGGGAGTGAAATTGGCCGATGGCAGCCGGCCGATTGGTGCTTTATGAATAGGCAGGTAGGGGCAGGTCAGGTTGGGAAGCAGAGGCTTAATATCGGATCAACAGCCGTGCGTGCACTGGCTTCGGTAGACGGGCCCATCATGCAAACGGTGGAATCGCGCGAGCTGGCTGTGGTAATCATAAGATGGTGCGCGAAGGCTGGTAAGGTGATTCAAGTAGGGCAAGCAATACAAGAAAAAGACCACTACGCGAGAGAAACGGTGAGACAGCACACAGCAAGCACACGCCTACTGCTAGACACCAATTCTCTCCTAGTTGCCCGCCATTGTGATGACGGGCAATAGAACTTGACGCAAGGGACTGCTCAAGGAATCAGCGTGCTTGTGAGAATCGAGCATGCACCGCTGTCCGTCTCCTTGTATCCAACCAACAACAGGTGTCTGAAGGAATTCATCCTCTGGGTGTGTCCCTGCAATAGCTAAAACATTTCTCAAATTGGGTACTGGTCGAGAACAAGCGAACCAATGAGGTTTGCACCGTATGACACGACGACACGGTATGCTAGCCTGCCACATGTACGATGAACACGTGCCCAAGACACTATCTAAAACCGGAATGGAAGGCGTGGAACCGCAACGTGGGAAAAACAACACAAAAATAAGACACTACAGCCGTGTGATTGTGATGCTTGCTTGCGGACATGCACGCACCTTTGTGATGGCTCCTTCTCCAAGAGACCTTCGATGAGGCTTTTCACTCCCACATTCACGTCCGCCCTGTCCAATCACATCATCGTCATCATCAATTCATTCGGAGCAGGGAGAGAACGGCACCTGTTGTTCGAACAGGCGGGACTGCAGCGACTTCCCAAGGAGGCGGTTCACAAGGAGGTAAGTGAGTAATGACCCAGCTTCTAGGAAGTTCGATTCCGGTCCTTGGTGAATACATTGGGGGAAAAGTGGTCCCGATATAGGACAGAACAACGCTTGATGCCAACCACCACCATCACTGCCAACGGATAGACTTCAGGGCCAAGTAATGGAACAACGGGGCTTCTTGGCATCATTCTGGTATCGCCAGAACTTCAGGCCAACTTGCTTCGTCCTTCGACGCACAGGAGTGAATCCTTGTCGCGTGGAACGCAAAAACCGAACAAAACACGAGAGTTTTGCATGGAAGAGAATAGTTCATTTGCTTCCCCTTTTTGTGGCTTGAATTTCGTGATGAACGCATGGGGTTTAAGCTGTTCACAGGACTCTCTCGCTACGCATACGCTGCCGGGTTGATCGAGTCGTAATCGAAGTGGTTCCAGAGAACGATGCATCAACAACCCAACAGCCTGGCCGCAAAGAAATGTATTCCTCAGAGCAGCACAAATATTGTTGCCAAAAATGAGCAAGCACCTCTCCTTCAAAAACGCGCCAGGAACAGGCATGGACTTTGAAAGTAAATCGTGACCCCCGGACATGATGTTGACTTTCATACCCCGGTCTCTTCCATACGAAAGGCATGGATACTAAAAACAAATTTCATGACATGGTGGGTGCGTTGCGTTCTTGCGTAAGCAAGTACGGGGCCCCTCACCACACGGCCAAAGAGGCACGGGTACTTGGACAAGTTTCGTGACGCTATGCACAGGTCGTCGTCTTTTCCTACGCCAAAAGTGGTTCTCTTATGCAGGCAGTGGGCCTCTCGCTACACGGCTTTAGAGGCACGGATACTCACAACAAGTTTCGTGACGTTACGGGTACGTTGATTTCACTCTTGAGCAGGTACGGGGTCCCTCACCACGCGGCTCCAGAGGCACGGACAACTTGAACGAGTTTCATGACGGTGTGAGTACGTTGTCGTCTTTCCCACGCCAAGCGTCTTTCTTATGCAGGAAAGGGGCCTCTCACCACAATGCTCAACAGGCACGGATACAGAAAAACAAGTGCGGGTTCGTCGCAAGTGCCCAGCAGATACGGCACCCCCCTTACCAGACAGCCGCGGGGAAGGAGACGGGCTTGGTGACGCACTTCCTCGCCGGTATGAAGGGGAGTCTTCCCGATATCATCTGGTAAAGCATCACCCCGACGCTCCTGCAGTCGTAAAAAGAGAAGAGAGGGGCAAGCAGTAAACCAGGGACGGCAACAAACGAACGAAAACGAGAATACAGTGTGTGTGTGTCTTCATACCTCATAAACCTCGACCGCGCCAACCAGCTGACCAATGAAAAGACATCATTGTGTGTGAAGGGCAGAGAGAGGGGGAGAGAGAGAGAAAGAGACAAGAGTACATGATGTTCTTAGCTCCGTTTTCCTTGGTGGCTTGCCACACGATCTAACCTGCGGCCGCTCCGACACCAGTGGCACCCTCTCATACAAGCAGCACCCTCTCATCTCGTCATTCCCCCCACCAGCACAACCTCCCATCCCATATGCCATCTATCGCGGAGAGCTACTACAACGGTTGTGATGAGGCTGCTTTCAGACCATCCGCGAAAAATCCGCACGGCACAACAATTCATATGTTACAGGGAGTGAAATTGTCCAATTTAACTCTCTTTCGGACCTCCCTCCCAACACTCTCTCAAAGCAGATCGTGCTTCGTCGTCTTCATCCTGCTGCCACTCACCACAAGTCGGCGGGTTTCCCGAAAGGCTGCTGGCTCATGATCTCCGGGGCGATGTAGCCCCCGGTACCGAACAGCCCGGACCATGGGATCTTGTTGATGTCACCCGTCTGCTTGTAGAACCGAACGTCCGGCACCTGTTCCATTTCGCGCGTCGTGCGACGCGCCAGGGACCGACAGCAACAACACCAACAGTAAGCAATATCAGCCCAACGGTAACTGAAACGGTTCCAGGTGCGGAATGAAAGTGAAGAACCACACACACAAGGCCCTAGATAGCAAACAGTAGACCGTCGTCAAACGTCACGCAGGGGGTTTGCGGTATGGAATAAGGGACAGAATCATATACTGCCGCAGCAGGGCCCCATGATGGTTGGCGCTTTCAGGCCCGTGAAGCATTCATTCCACAACTCCACTTCGCACCTCGTTTCGGTTGGATGACCATCGCCCCTTTTGCTCTTTCTTCACACCATCTGCAGCCGTCGCTCCAACTCTTTACCTACCAACAACCACCCGACCTCGCTTCCTCTGTTGAGGAGGAGCCCTCCAACGATCGAGGTGGTCAAGACAGACCGGAAAAAAATATGCTCCGAGGCACACGCCTTCCAAAACCACAAATGCCGGGAGGCTCTACCTCGGCACGATCGAGCAATCAATCCACGGCGGCCAAACGGACTTCACTCGGACACCCAAAAAAGCACCAAAACGCAGTACGTACCTGACGAACAACCACAAAACTACCGAAAGTCCACACAGGTGCCTACAGTAGATAGAACCCGTTGAGACCACAGGAGATATTTTGGGGTAACCAAAAAAACGGTTGAACTCCGGACAGGTGACTACTACAGAAGAAAGTCTACTTGCCAACCACAGACGATAGTCTACCCGTTGAGGCAACGAGCACCGCACTCCCTGTGCCTTCTCATCATACCATACCTTGCACGAGATGCCGAAGTCGCAGAGCTTGGCCAGGCGGCCTGCCGGCGACGACACCTGCTGCTTTCCTCGCTTCTCTGGGCCTGATGATTGGGGCCGTGGTCCCCACAGCAAAGCAACGCGTTGTGCAGCGGGGGCACAGCAGAGGGGACAGGGGGGGGGTCACTCGGTGTGTTTGTGGGCGTGCGCTCCAGTCGATTGAAAGAGATGCCAGGCAAGGAACCAAAGCCATGTGTGTAGCCCTCTGTACAAGGTCTGGATTGAGCAACACTAACACCAACACCACCAACACCACCAACAACACCAACAACAACAACAACAACAACAACACCAACACCAACAACAACACCAACAACAACAACAACACCAACAACAACAACAATAGAAGAGGCAAGAGGCAAACAAACCAACCCCTTCACTCTTCTCTGACCCCTCCCCCTGTTCCTACCAGCGCGTATCGTGCGTCCGCCACCAAAATGACATATCAGGCGTTCGCCACAAAAATGACACATCATGCGTTCCCCAAAAAAATGCATGAACAACACACGTACTCCGAAACACACACACCTTTGCTCTTCTCCGACTCCGCCCCCAAGGATTTCGATGATCCCGCCGCCTTGAGGGTAGGCGCGTCCGGGTTGTCAGGGTCTGGCGCGAACAGGAGGTTCTGCGGCTTACTGCAGGGCGAACAGGGGACACACACAGAGGGGGGGGG